CAATTACAGGCGTCTCTCATCTTTTTAACTGGGAGAACTTACACAATTGGTGGCTGACTAAATACTTTTTTGCCCCACTATATGTAAGACAGAAAATATATTTTCTCTCAAAAAAGGTTGTTTGGCATGCTAAAGATTGCTGCATCTGCTCAGAATCAAATATAATTCAAAATCCAGTGTTTAAACATTGTCTGTTTAAATTTTGCTTTGATTTTAATGTGGCAATTGGAAGAACATCAAAAGTTAGTTTACATTGATCTACTTTTTAATTTCTAGATTTCATTCTTGAGTGCTTCTGCAAATGACATCCACTATGAAAGTATTTGTGATTTATTCATGAAAGGCAGGATGTATGCCATTCTTCTATGCTATCTTTATTACTATGTATGAAAAATCATAATGTGTCAAAATGTTTCTATGTAGCAAAATCATAATGTGTCAAAACGTTTCTATGTAGCAGTTACTTAATTTAAGCTTTCTTTTTTTCTAAGACTTGTCACTAGCATATCAGTATTCTAGGACTGATCTTTTGTTTTAGAAATTATCTAGTATCATTGTAACTTATCAAATAATATTTGCCTTTCCCTGAATATCACATTCCAGACTAAATCATTTTTAAAACCTTTTCTCGGCAATAGAATAGAATGAATATATTTAGCCCAAATTAAACTGTGGAGTCCTTGTTGCTCTTTGAGCGTTGTAGCCTGCTGGCAGATGCTTTGTTACCTTCCTAGGATAGTTACCAAACTAAGATGTGAAGACATTAACAAAAAGTTGTGTAACAAAATGTCTGCAGGCAGACAACCAAGATCAGATAGCATCGGCTACTTTACAGTAATACTGTTAAATGCTTTTAGAACGTTACTAGAATAATTACTTTATGTCATGTCCATCTTGTGCATAAGTGATTTTTTTTCCCTGTATTGGAAAAAAACTTTTATATGCCCTGATTTTGTTGTACAATAAAGCTATTCAAAATTGAGATAGCTAAACTGGCAATTCCTCCTTTGACATGGAGCAACTTTCCAACAGCTTAACCTTGCAGATATGATGATAGTGGTCTTGGTGTTCCATTTTTAGGGCAAGAGGATGAAGGTTCTCCAGGATTATGATCATAAGAATAATAAAAGCAAAAAAAAGGAGGGTTGTTGTTTTTTTGAAATCACATTTCATGGGGTTATTTTGGTGTGGGAATGAGATAAGACTGATTTTTGCATAATAAATGGATTTTTGATTTCTTCATGAAAATATTCCTGAGTAACCTAGAAACCGTTATTCAANCTTGCCTCCAGAAGTTGTGAATGCCCCAACACTGGAAGCTTTTAAGAAGATGTTGGATAGCCATTTGTCTGAAATGGTATAGGGTTTCCTGCGTAGGCAACGGGTTGGACTAGGAGACCTCCAAAGTCCCGCACAACTCTGCTATTGTATTGTATTGTATCTAGTTTATTTTGATCATAAATTTCCTAGTTCAACACAATCAGGATTTTGGGTTCTTTGCAGCATGATAAGAACAGAAAAATATGGCAACATCTTTGCCTGGTCCATATCTTGGTCCATCTTTGTTTATATCAAGGGATTATTTTAGTAACAATTCTGTGAGGTCCTTAGTGCTTTCTGAGTTTGGTTGTATTCTTATAGACGTTTTATTACCCAATTAGGTAATTTCATCAGTGCTAAAAGGGAGTGGGTGTTGCTCTCTTTTTATGAAGGGCTTGCCCTGCCATTGTTGCTTAAGTATTCTTGGTTAGATATTATTTATTGTATGTTTGAATTGTTTAATATGGTAAACATATACATAGTTGTATTCAATTCAATAACGACTTTTGCAAACATGGTATTACGAATTTCCAGTTGTCTTTAAACTGGTACATGTGTTTTAGAATGATGTACCTTGAAAACTTATTTTCCTTCAGAGAAAACTTGATATCTACATGTAGAATGGAATTTTAATAATCCATTAAAATATGAGCAAGGTGATGACATTAATCTAGCTAAAGTTTAGAGTAATGGCAGTTGATGAGGAAAAAGAAGTGTCTTAATGAATGTGGGAAAATGGTATTTGTCTTTCAGTGTTAACATTTGACACACATGAATGTGTATACCACAGGATTAAAAAAAAATCTTGAACACCATATTCTCATTCCTTTTATCTAGAGTAGAAAATATAAATGTGACAAGTAATGGTCCTAATAAAAAGAATTATTTGAAAACAAGGCTTTAAAGTGAGTTATAGATCTAAGGGAGGAAAGTGCAAAGTTGATGCCCTGGTTGCTTTTAAAATTTGAATGTTTATATCCTATACCATAAGATCCTTATCAAAAAGCTCTGCAATGCTGTTGCTCAGCCTTTTTGAGGGTTTACTCTATTTTAATTAATTCACCAGGTGTTGTTTTTTTTAAAAAAAGGATGAACCTTGTTTATCCATGACCACCAAGCTTTGTGGGGAAAGAGCCAGATCTATTTGATTTTATTCTGACTTGTGTTCTTAGTGGTGATCAGAAAAATATTTACAGGAATTTTTTGGAATTATTGTCATAAATAGTTGTACTATATTGAGATAATTTGATGGAATGATTTTTATCAAAATACAAGTAGCCTTCATTCTCAGTGCTAAAAAAAGTGTTTTAATGCTGAGAAATCATATTTTTTTGTATGAAAACTTTTCAGTCATAATTATTCAACATTAATCGTATTCATAAGATTCTTCAGAATTAGGAAGGATTATGCTTTATTTTGTGTAATCTTAATTGTTTAAATGACTGCCTTATTAAAAATATAGTGAGCTATGGTTGGGCTTTTAATATTTCTTGAACTTCAGAGGTGCAAGTGTGTTGTTTAATCTTTTAGAATTTGTGGCTAGACATTAAATTTAGATTCTTGGAAAGATTATTTACTGTTTGATATTACATTTGTTTTAGATTGAAGAAGAAGCAAATGGGGATGCATTTGATATTGAAATTAATGTGTCAGATCCAGAAAAAGTTGGTGAGTCTGAAAATTACTGTATTAATTAAAGAAATATTACTTTATTTTATAGCTAAAATTTGATATAACTGTTTAAGTCACATGTATAAAAACTAATGTTAATAAATAATATAAACGGATATATCTATATTGTTAATAAATGTGTGTATTTATTCATGTACCATACAGGGGATGGCATGAATGCTTACATGGCCTACAGAGTCACTACAAAAGTAACTATTTCATGATAACTAATCAAATATTTAGTATTCAGCACTATATAAATGTGGTGTATTTTACAAATGCCTTTTTCTGTTTTTTTAGACTTCCCTAACTATGTTTCACAAAAATGAATTCGCTGTTAAAAGAAGATTCAGTGATTTTCTTGGTTTGTATGGCAAGTTAGCATCAAAATATCTTCATGTTGGTTACATTGTACCACCAGCTCCAGAAAAGAGTATTGTAGGTAAGTGTGCTTAACGAGTGATGGCATTCATCTTCCATAGTGAAGCAATTATTCTGACAGTAAAAATTATGTTGCATCACATAAATTTTTTTACATCTATTTGACAAATGTTACTTTTAGAGTAAGGGTTATTAACCTTGGATCAATAGACCCCCCCCCCAAGAGGTCTGTATTTAGATGACCATAGGTCTATGAACTATAACTGTAACTATAACTAAATTGCTTATTTAGAGGCTATAAAAGATAAAGAAAATCCTTACTTTATTATTAGTAAATTATATTAGTAAAAAATATTATATGAACTTTATATTCACTCTAACTGAAAGCTTGTCTTATTGATTAATGGAATAATGAAGTACATATATTACTATGTTACGTATTATTTGCAATATTTTGATAACTGAATTTAAACTTAATTTAATCCTTTGCATTAAAGTCAACATATATTTGATGTGTTTAAACACAATTTTCTGAGAAGGAGTTAGTAGTTTCACTGCATTTCCAAAGGGTTCAATTGCACAAGAAGGAAATGAAGCTGGTTCAGGGCCAGGTTACCTACAGAATCATCTTAGTCCCATTACACCAGCACATCCCACCTGATTAGGCGGGAGAGATATGTCACGAACCTGTCAGTTAAAGAATTCTCACTGGCAGGGTCTAGGAGAAGAGTCTTTTCTGCATTGCTGACTTTGGAACATTCTGTCTCTAGAAGGGAGGCGGGCCCCCAGTCTCATAACCTTTCGGAAATGTCTAAAGATCTTGGTCTGTTATCTCACTTCAAGCTTACAGGAAAGCATGCATGGTGAAGGCCCCTACCCTGATTTTTAATATTAAGTTTTAAGTGTCCTTGTCTCTAAATTTTTATCTTCAATTTTTTAATTTTTAATATTTTATTTCTGTACCACCCAGAATCACTCTGTGAAGGAGATGGGTACTTTCTAAATTTTCTAAATAAATAAACAAAGGAAGCCCTGCTTTTGAAAAAAATATATGTAAGAACTAAATTAACATTTTTTGGGGGGTGGGAGTACACTTTATTTGAATGACAAAATGTATTTTCCATGTTCTATTTACTTGTCCCTTTGTCTTGGAGTATTTAAATACTTTTTCAATTTTACGGTAAATTGTCAGTTAAAATGTTTAGCTTAACACATACTGATCATCAGAATGCTGATGATACTCAGTTTTACATCTCTACCCTGGGCCACAGAGAGGAGGCTGTTAAAAGTCTTGTCCTAGTGTCCAGAGGTTGTGGAGATCCAGATTGAATCCTAGCAGGACACAATTACTGTTTGTCATCAGGATGTTCAGATGGTCCAGTGGTGTATGTCAATGTGGGGGGGGGGGGGAGAAACCAATACCCCTGAAGAAGTAGGTCAGTGATTTGAGTATCATTCTAGATTCACAGTTCCTGCTTGATTAGACGTTAGAAACCATAACCAAGGTGGTTGGAAGTTAATTTAGCGACCATATGCAAGCAGTTGGAGCTCTTCCAGAGGGTATTTGGGAGTCATTTGCATGTTTTATGTCTCTTGTATTTTACTGGATTGTAATGTTTTAAATGTTTGCATTTCTGTAAAGTTTATGAGGAATCATGGCCCATTACAAATGTAATAAATAAAAACCTTGGTTATTCTCCCAGGCCTTGAATTAGAATGATGGTGGAGCACTTATGGTTTGTTGTTGTTTAGTCTTTGGTTATTGTCTTCCATTCAGTTGTTTTTTTCTTGATATATTTTATTTTATTTATTTATAAGCACTTCAGAATTATTGCAGAGTTGGGCAGCCTCACAGCTGGAATTACTATTTTTTTTATATCCTGCCTTTATTATTTTTACAAACTCAAAGCAGTGAAGATATCCAAAATACATTCCTCTTCCTATTTTAACCACATAACACCCTTTGAAATGGGATGGTGAGAAAGAAAGTAATTGGCCCCAGGTCACTCAGCTGACTTTCATAGCTAAAATGGGATTAGAGTGTACATACTCCCACTTTCTAGTCTGGTGCCTTGATGAAATTGGCTCTATATATTTAGAGAGAAAGTGGGTGCGCATCTCAAGTTATTTTTTGGCTTGTACTGTATATTCAGATCATTAAACTTGTTCAACTGTTCTTAATTGAAGAAAGCTTACTCATTTTTGTATATGATAATGATGGGTGTAAAGTTGTAGAAACAGCACTTTCAACCATTTGGTAGGGTGTTCAAATTGATCAAGGGAATTAATATCCCTAAAAATGAACATTAATTCTTTCCCAGGAGAAATGGAATAGACCAGAGGTGTCAAACTCAAGGCCTGTGGGCTAGATCCGGCCGTGGGGTGCTTAGATCTAGTCTGCAGGGCCAGCCTGGAAATATCAAAAAAGGCCCACAATGCCTCTACAGCCTCCTGCAGCACTCTGCCAGCCAAAAATGGGCCAAGCAGAGGTCTAGTGAGACCTCCACACAACCTGTTTTCTACTTCCCAGCCTTCTGTAGCACTTTGAAGATGTGTAAGTGCTGATGGAGGCCAAAAACAAGGTGCCCCCTGCCCTCCATCTTGTCCAGCAAAGTGCTGCAGGAGGCTGAAAATGTGCGCCCAACCCCCATGCCCCATTTTAGATGGCAGAGTGCTGCAGGAGGCCGTTGAGGCCAAAAACGTGCAACCCCCCTCGATACTCCACTTTGGCCAGCAGGGTGCAGCAGGAAGCACCCATCCCATCTCCCCCTGTTCCCCAACCCCCCTGCCAGTCCTTAGAGGAGAATTGCAATGCTGATCTGGCCCTCGAAGAAATACAGTTTGACACCCCTGGAATAGACTAACGAGAAACAATATTGTGCATTGATATTGAGAATACTAATACTTTGTTTGAAAAAAACTGAGCAGAATTTTGACTTAATGAGTTTATTGTTTGGTTATTTGAGTGTTTCAAATAGGCTGATTGTTGCATATTTCAAAAATAATTTGAAAGAAGTTTTTTGGACATTGCAAAAGTACAGCACTTTCTATTATTCACTAAGCTGCCTGATATTTTTTCAAGCTTCAATATAAGTTGAGTCTGAAAAAAGAGCTGCTGCTATTTTAAGAGTCACATTGATTTTTCAGAAGTACTATACTTCTACCAGGGTCAAAAACACACTTTCCAATTTGTTTTTGCAGTGTGCACAGCCCTAAATTGTGGCTGACTGCTTTTCTCCTTTGGATTTCAGGAATGTTCTTTGAAATACTCTTATTTTTCATTGCGTATTCAAAAGATGAACATATTATACTATATGTAAATATGTAATTCGGTGATAGCTGAATGAAGCTTTCATCTATGAAAAGGCTTATTCCTGTTTAAAGTTTATCTGATTTTATATAATGTTTATTCCAGATAAGCAGAAATTAATCTATACTAAGACTGCTAGGTTTAGGTGGAGTGTCTTGGCTAAGAGAACAACTCATTGGTGCTACTTACCCAGCTTATTGCAAATATGATGGTTGATTTACTTTGTGTGGTCTCATTGATCCTAATGTTTTATGCTTCTGAAATAATTTCTTCGGGTTCTACCATGTTTCCTCAAAAATAAGACAGGGTCTTATTTTTTTTGACCCACAAAATATGGCTTGGACCTTATTATCAGGGGAGGGCTTATTGTTTTGGGGTTGCTTGGCGGATGCTCTCTTGTTAGCAGGCTCCCAAAGAGCTGGGCACAGCGGCGCAACACAGCAGCCATAAAGTGACCACGCTCACAAGCAGCCACCCAGCAAACCCCCTTTCCAGCTTGGCACAGCGCTATTCACTGACCTAGGGGTATTGCCAACCGTTTCAGTGCCTGTTCGCCACCGCCTGGCTCTCGTGGCTTGGAGCCTTCAAAATGCCGGTGAATGGTCCTCTGCACGGCTGGAGTGGGGGTTGCACAAGGGGCTGTTCCAATCCTGTTTGCACGCCTCCTAGCCTCACGATGCCCTGGCCCAGCTCTCCCTGCACAGCCAGAGCACCTCTGCTGCCACCGTTGTCTGCCGCCATCATCCCAGCATGACTTTTTTAGCGGCTTCCAAACTGAGTCTTCCGGCAGTGGCTGCTCTGGGTGTATGCTCTATGGTTATATGCTTTGGGAGTACGCTCTACCGGCAGTCGGCCCACAACCATAGAGCGTACACCCAGAGTGGCCACTGCTGGAAGACTTGGTTTGGAAGCCGCTGAAAAAGCTATGGAGGTGTCAGCGGCATCAGAGGTGCCCTGGCTCTGCAGGGAGAGCTGAGCCAGGGCATCGTGAGGCTGGGAGGCGTGCGAGTTGGAGTGGAATAGCCACTTGTGCAACCCCCCTCTCTAGCTGTGCAGAGCGCCAAAAGGCTCCAAGCTGCGGGAACCAGGCAGTGGTGAACAGGCACTCACGCAGCTTGGCAATATCCCTAGGTCAGTGTGTGGCGCTATGCCCGGCTGGAAAAGGGGTTTGCCGGGTGGCTGCTCATGAGTGCTGTTGCTTCATGGCTGCTGTGTTGCACTGCTGAGACAGCGCAACACAGCCGTTCACCCCGGAGGCTGTGCCCGGCTCTTTGAAAGCCCTCTCGCAAGAGAGCAGTTGCCCGGCAACCCCCCGCTCCAGCCGGGCACAGCGCTGCTCATCACCCTAGCTGTATCCTGAAGGAGCCAAGCAACACAAGTGCCTTTGCCCCCCCCCCAGTTCCCGCGGCTTGGCACTTTCAGGATACCACTAGGTTGGTGAGCGGCACTCTGCCTGATCAGACGGGGGGAGTTGTCCACGGGGCTTATTTTGGGGGGAGGTCTTATATTTTTGCCCACCTGAAGAATGTGCCATGGCCTTATTTTCAGGACATGTCATATTTTCGGGGAAACGCGGTATGTATGAATGGAAGGCGACAAAAATAACT